TAAGTCGCACTGGCCATGTGACCATGGAAGATTGTCTTCGGACAAACGCTGGCTCTATGGCTTTGGAAACAGGGATGAGCATCGTCCCCTTGAGTCGAACACGACTGGACAAAAATTGTCAAGGGGAACCTTTACCTTTACCTTACTTCTCTTAATCTTAGAGGTGTTATTTCTAACTGAAATGAAAACTAACTACAATTAAGAACTGGAACTCCATTAACAACCCAACTTCAAACTTTTTTTAACCTTTAAAGTATTTGTCTCAGTGGCTGAAACCCTGTTGTGCAGCCTTGCATGTGCATTGGGGATGACAGCATCACCAACAGCAAATCTCTGTTTATTAAAGGTGATTTGAGGTGCATACAACTTGTACACAATGCAGTGCAGTTGTGTGCATCCTGAATCAATGAAAGGAAGCCTTCAATCAGTAGCCATCTGACATTGACAATGTCATCACCACTGCACAGGTGGAATTTTATCAGGTTAAGACAAAATAACAATGTCATCACCACTGCACAGGTGGAATATAAGACAAAATATGATCTCCTTGGCCACTGAATGCCTTGTGGGAGTGAATGTGTTCACTGAAAGCCTCAGAATATCTTCCGGGTCTGACATCCAAGAGAAAGGATAGAGAAATAGAGAAGAAAATCAAGCAGAAAGTTTTTGTTAATTTTAAATAGACAGAAGAGGTGAATAAGGAGACAAATATGAGTGTACTATCAAGGCAAAGGAACTAAGGCTGGAATGCTGAGTTGTCCTCTCCAATAGAGGGAGCCAGCTGCTCCAAAAAAGACTGGTCTTTAGCTCCTGCCTATCAAAATGAATTGGAAGGACAATCCAGTATAAAGATGTCTTTTTCCCCCCCTGTAAGAAAAGCTTCTGATCTTCCGCTGTGCCTGTGCCAGAGAACAAAGAGGAAGACTCAAATTTCAGCTCTGTTCCAGCAACACTGAACTGTGGTTAGTACAGTATTAAGTACAGATGAAACAATGTCAAATCAATGCTAGAGTAAAACTGGTGCAAATATATATCGTACAACTGGGATCGTGTCACAGGGCTCAATCCTACACTGCACTACAGTAGTAGAACTTTTAGTGCTTTCACCTTCCTACTCAAAATATTCTTCTGAGCTAGCTTAAAACTCATTTTGAAGGTAGCCTGTGGACTGCAGCAGAGAAAGAGTATTGCCCCCTGCACCTTATCTAGAATTAGGGATAAGACTAACAGAAGTTCACTGGTGGACCCTGCCCTACATCTGTCTCTGAACCACAAAGTGAGATGTACCTTATATCTCTGATTGTAGCTCTCTTCATGGGATCCACCTGCAGCATGTGTTTCAAAAGGCTAATTACTCCTGGGTTCAGGTATTGTGGCGTATAAAAGATACCATCACATATCTTCTTAAAAAGTGTCGGCACATGATCATCATCAAATGGAAGGGTTCCACATAACAAAGCATAAAGAATAACCCCACTGCTCCAGATATCCACTTCTGGCCCTGCATATAACCTGAAAAACAGTGTCTGCAATCAATTATGTTCAATTAAACAAGTATCGATATGAAGCACTTCTTAAACTGATGTATCAGTCTTTCAGCAATTCATTGAAAAACAACACAGAACACCAGAATTCACATGTTTTAGCATGCTTGTTAATATAAATTGGTTGCAAGGTATTGTACTGAACTGAGAACTGGAATCAGGAAGACCTGAATCGAAATCAATAATCCTTCTTATCTCTCTCTGGAAAACTTAGATAATGTCACACAACAGGCTGACATAAATGTAGCACTGTCTATCAATTAAGATGGGAATGCAAAACACCAATGGCCATGCTGGTGGGAACTGGAGACAGGACTGATGTGAATTGCAGTTTAGCAATTTATGGAAAGCCAAAGCTTCTCTAACCCTAGGTTAAAGGACTGGATGTATGATGTACAGCTGAATATTCCTCCCCCCACAATCACTTCCTCCCAAACGACTTCTTCCTCAGTTCCTGGTTGATCATCATGCCTAATCAACAGATGAAGTCTGGATGAAGCGAACTTGTCCACAAAAAGCTCACATTAAAATATAGTAGTTAATATTTAAGATGACATAATGTTTTTTGTCTTCTATATTTTATATTTTCTTTCACTTTTGCTTGATTTGCTACCACAGTCTAACACAGCTACCTTGTCTAATACTACTAGTCTGGATCATGGCATCCAGAACATGGTTAAGAGTTCTGATGAGGAGTAAACATAATTTACATAGCAGAATAAATTTGCAATTACTTAACTTCTATTTTAGCCAACCACAGTGTGCTGTATTATCCAGATCTAGAACTGTAGCTAACATTTATGCTTAACAACCAGCCTTAGAAAATAGGGTTCGGAAAGTTTAAAACCAAGCTGAGTTAGTGTTAACTACAATTTATCATATCAGATGACACAACAGACCATGTTAAAATAAAATAAATAGTAAAATATTCTAGATTTCTCCTCCAGGCAGTGGAGGAGGAGGAGAGAAAAGGAAGCAATATGCGGGTCTGATTATTGCTATGGCTATTAGAAACAACTAAACGATGATTTAACAGGACAGGATAATACAATAATAGTTCTATACTATACACAGAAAACACTGCCAATCAAAAAAACTCATCAAATCCAGGAACTTCAAACATCCAGGCTGGAACATTAGCTTGAGCTCTAAAAGAGCAGGGCTTTATTTTTGAGAAGATATATATACATTTATCCAAGAAAAGAAACTACCTTCCTGAAATTACTTCTGGAGCAGCATAATTAGGAGAACCACAGCTTGTTCTTAAAAATTCTCCATCTGACATCATATTTGAAAGGCCTGAAAATACACAAAAGTTCAAATGAAGGTGACTCTAGAAGACTGACACACATTAAATTCTCCCAAAGTACCAGTAGGTCATTAATTGATCTGAATAACCAAAAACAAAAACAGTTTTTCATCTGGCATTATACAAAGAAAGAAACTTAGCACATATATAAAACAATTATGCCAATGGCAACACCACACACAAATTACGGATTGGAAGGTAATTTTATAAACTAAATGGGCTTATTTTAAAACGTTATTACAAAAATGGACAAAGATCAAAATATTCCAAAAGTCCATTTTTGGATCTCAATAAAGCCCAAAACATTTCTAAATAAAAAACAGGCCAAGAATTTATTTAAGAAATGCCATATTAAATTGGCAAGTCTAGTAGCACCTCATTGGCAATACTGTTTCATTCATTGTAGACTGTAATTTTCAACTTTATGCAGAGAAAACAATAGCCCTAATTGTGGTTAATAAGACACAAGCACTCTACTTGTGGGAAAGTGCACAAAACCCGTCCTCCTCCTCCATTGTTTTCCTCATGCAAAAGGTATTTGAAGAGGAGATGCTGCTGTATTCATGGAGGCTCTACATGTGAACCAGAAGACAGAGAAACCAGAGTTCTTACATGCATGTAGAGCCCTCACAAGAACAGCAGGGTCTATTCTTCATATATTTGCTTTCACATGAGGAAAAGGATGGGATTAATTTAGTGAAATATCCTTATTGCACGCTGAGTACACACTATAAGTGCTTAAACAAAGCTACTGTCTCATGAATCATTTACAATACACAAGAAAGGGGAAATTGCAAAGACTGTATGTTGATATGTTCCATTACAAGTGTCTTCAACTGATAAAGCATCTGTTGAATATAATGGCTTTGCTAATTTCAAACTGTGATATGTTTTTTTTTAAATTTATGGGACAGACTTCTGCAGCATGGGAAAAAAGAGTGTTCCAGCAAGTGAGACCGAGAGCTACTTCAACTGTGCTGGAGGACAACGTAGCCACATCCATACTCTCGCTCTGTCTGTCTGTCTGTCTGTCTGTCTGTCTGTCTGTCTGTCTGTCTGTCTGTGTACACACACATATATATATACATGGATGTGGCTACGTTGTTATATATATGCTGCACAACGTTACGACAATTGCTCAGAAGGTACAGAACTGTTGATGCAAGCTGAAATGATAGGAGGGACAGTCCTAGCACAATAAAATGCAGTCACAGCAGGGCAGCTCATCCCCTCTTGAAGTCTACCACTGGCAAGTTACTCAAGACCCATTCAGGTATTACAATCCGAATCCAGGTAGGACATGAAGAGTGGTGGGTACAGAAGTATATACATAAGCTCCATCTGACCCCGAAAACAAGCAGGCATTTGCATGTTCACAGCAAACCTAAGTGGTGATGCTTGTAAACATGGTCTGCTGAGGTGAGAGCTCTATGAAGGCAGGGCTCCCAATCATGAAAACACTGTAAGCACATTTATCAGAATGTGCTAACAAGCTCTGCAGCACAATATTTTGAATATGTAAAGGTCTGTCTGCTTGCAGGATGGGTGGAGATGTGTGAGTGGGACATCTTTACACCCCCAAATCACCACCACTGTTCACATCCCACCTGGATTCAAGCTGTAATCCATAAATAGGCTTTATGTAAACTGCAAAAGCCTGTGTGTGTGCCACAGCCATCTACATACCTCTGGGAGACACATGGGTAAGGGACACAGGTCAGCAACAGACCACATATATGGCCATGAGTTCAGTTTCTGGCATCTGCTGGTAAAAATGCTGGGATCTCTGTCTGAAACCTTAGAGAACCACAGCTAATGAGAGCAGACTCAGACGGCTAGATGGGCGTACAATCCAGCTTGGTATAAGACAACTTCATAAGTTGATACTGTTCTAGACTATATTTAGGATGGGAAATTTAAAATTAGCATTTTACTTTTGAAAATAAAAAGCTGCATGCTACGCAAAAGTATGCAGCGTAATCCACTGGGGTGGAATAATTTAGCAGACACCCCCCCTTCGCAACCCCAACTGTACTTGAGCACCGTACCTTTGAAATAATTGAATACTTAGATTTACATAGCACCCTTCATCAGAAACCTCTTTACAAGGACAGGTACTATCCACTATATCTACAAAAGAAATATTGTCATTACGTAAAAATACTTCCATATTTACATGGCATGAGTTTTTTACATGGGTAATCCCCCAAAACATTTGTCTGGAGTTTCACTTTTCTCTAGTTTGCAATGTGTTATACTTCATGGTTTAACCAAAACTGCATCTCAGAGCAAGTCTGAATTAAAGTCCAGACAGGGATGCAATTTAACTAGGTATATGCTGGTAGAAAAGCTGTTTCTTTTGAGCCTCTCACAATGCAGTCCAGGTTTTCCCATGTTCTTCCCTCTATAGTAGGGTTAGGGAGTCTTTGGCTCTCCAGATGCTGCTGGACTTTAATTCCCAGCAGCCCTTGTCAGCCTGGTCAGTGTTGAAGCACGATGGAAGTGAAGGATGATTAAAATTTCCCAGGCTAAAGATTTCCCAGCCCTGCTTATAGAGAGACAGCACAAAAGAAACTGCAGACCACGATTGGCTGAGAACAAAATATCAACCCATAAACGGAGAACTTACAGGAAGGGGGAAATCTGTGGGATTTAGTTTTATTATAGACAAAAATGCACTGCAATAGTATGTTTTCATCAAATTATTTAAATTTTAATTAGACTATTTTCTACCACCAGCCCCTTAAAAAATTAAGCAAGTATAGCCTGGAAACAAAAGGAATTTGTCTCAGTGGCAATTTGAAAAAAGTTAGCAAATACATACATTTGAAATATACGAACTCAAAGCTGCCTTTAAGAATAGCAGCAACCCTGAGCAGCACAGCTCCTTTATATAAAGGCAAAGGAATGTCTGGCACTAGAACTATCTGCTCAGAAACTGAGTTCAATACAAGTACCTGAAATTTGACACTAACTAAACTGTCAATGAAGCCAAAATGAGGTCATACGTCAAAGGAAACCTACCAAAATCAGCAATCTTGGCATTCATGTGTGCATCAAGCAGTACATTTTCAGGTTTCAAGTCTCTGTGGACTACCATGTGCCTGTGGCAATAATCCACACCAGAAAGGATTTGCTGGAACAGACGTCTACTCTCCTTTTCATCAAGCTAACAAAAGGGGGAATTTAAAAAAAACACATTGTAAAAGACACTGCAGAACATTTGAGCATTTCCAATATTTTAATGGCAGACTATGGCTGTTTGCGGCCATGTACAGTACCCATTCAGCTTTGTGTCAAATAATGATGATGACTGTAACAAAGCAAAGAATCTCTTCAAATGTAAGATCTGATTGAGCGAAAATATTTAAGTTTTCTGCTATTGACTACATTGAGACTGAAGCTTTCATCAGATCATACACTGTATCTTCTAGTAAGACTGGGCTTCTCCAATCAGCTGCCTTATACAAGAAGTCACACTTTTGCCCAGGTTGCCTATCACCGGCAATGGCCATCCAGGACTTCTGGCAAAGGTCACCTGCAGGCCAGGTTCTCAACCTCTGGTTCACCATATTTTGAATTTCAAATCCCAGAATTCCTAACAATTTTGCCATGTTGGCTGAGAATCTCAGAAGCTGAAGTTGAACATGTACGCAGGCCCAAAGGTAGAGAATCACTAAGCTATCATATACTTCTGGGACTGTCAGCTTGCTTAAATATACTCTGATCGTGAAAACTGAGACCAAAGACCAGTTTGCAACCTTGAAACTACAAGTTAGTCTTTAACATAAATGAATGCCTTATGATTCAGTTTATTACATCCTGCCAGAAGTAGAACCGTAAAAAGAAAAAAAGAAAAGAAAAAAGGCCACAGAAATTCAGTTCTAACATGGAACACAGACTACCTTGAACAAATGCACTGGACATGTGAACAGAGTTAACATGAGTACAGTGAACTTGCTAAAATTTATTTGCTCGCTTCTGTAAAATGGGGATTATGATCTTTCAAACCATGGAAAGAAATGGGGAAATTTTTACCTAAACCAAGTCATAGCCATGTGTAAGAGGCTCATTCAAAGAAACAAAAAATAATTTACTCTGAAAAACAGCAATATCTTACCCTTCCATTTTTACAGATGTAATCAAACAATTCACCTCCTGAAACATATTCCATCACCATGAAAATGTCAGATGGTGTGCTGATAACCTGGTACCTGAGAAAGACAGTGTTATTATCTAATCTCATGTATATGCTTACATGTGTCATGTAAAACTATGCAGCTCTTTTAAAAAGGTAAACATGCTCATTTGAAAGCTCAAAATTCAGCATGCCTTATTCTGCAAGTAAGCCTACGTAGGATTCATTAGCATGTGCAGGATTTGCTAACCTTGAGGTGCAAGAACGGAAGTCTTACATATGACATCTTTTAGGTTTTGATGGCCCTGATAAGCTTCTGGCCATATCAGATGTCATGGCTTTTTTCAAAAAGGTGATGATAGACATCCGGGATCAAGGAAATTTGGATGATAGCCTGCTGCTTATTACTTTGAAGAGACATTTATGCATTCAAGAGAAAGCTGTGCAGCTCTTTATGCGCTTGTTACGTACATTTCAAAAGTGGGATTTCTGGTCAGAGAGACAAGTTAGGAAAATGGCTGATAGAAGGTTCTTAATCATTAGTGCACATCAAACTACGATTTATAATCAAATCCTTTGGCGAAACAGAAATGGCATCTCAGCTGAAACCTTGATCTTGGCAACAGGGTCACTTTCCCTCCAACTGTATGCCATAAGGAAAGATTCTCAGTGGGATCACACATTTCTCTTCCCCACCAGTCAAAACAAGGTGAAATAAAGCGAGGAAGTGGGAGAGTGATGCAAGCTGATCAAGATTGGATTAGTTGCCTAAATTTCAAATCCAGTTTTATAGAAAAGAATAATTTTTACCAAATGAGACAATGAGCCTACTGAAGGTCACAACAAAAAACTTACAGTTAAGATAATTAGCAAGCCACAGGCCAACAGGGCAAAAAAAAAGTCTATGATTCACACTCAGCAATTCTCCTGTTCCTTTGTTTCTTATTGTACGGCCTGTGCTGCTACATGCCTAGTAGCAATGCTATTCCCAGTCTTTAGAAGATGTGAAACATGTGGCCCTCCGAGTGCAGTTGGACTACACTTCCAATTATCCCTACTAGCATAGCTAATAGTAAGGGATGATGGGCACTGATGTCCAACAACATCTGGGAATCTACCTCCCTGCTGTAGAAGGATGAAACGGCTGGCATGTTACTATTAGCCATTCACAATGCAAATGAAGAGAAAATGTAATAATAGTCTTAGAACTGCAAAGTTGGAAGAGACTGTAGGTACTAGTCACGTACACGTTCACAGCTGAAAACAGCCCAAGATCTCTGTCTTTGAGAGTTAAGAATTACTGTTCTTTGTATACATGAACAGTCATAGAATTTTCTCTGTTGGGGAAAAAAACTAGCATAAGAATGGTTGAGCGATAAGAGCAATGTTAAATTGCCATTCAACTGTTTGCCAGGAGGCAATTTCAGAAAATACATATCACAACATCAGCTTCACTTCTGCCTCACAAAGTCTCCCTGAGGCCTCAAAGAAATCATTTCCCATCCTTGTTATTGTGCATCTAACAACTAAGAATCGTTCATTCAACATTCTAGCCTTCTGGCTTTGTACAATATAAAAATGGTTGCATGTCATGACAGATTTATAAGAGAATCACACTAGAAATCCTGCCAACATTCATTTTACCCACTGAACAGGAAAGCTCAGTTTCTCAAGAAAAATTCAATGTAAAGAGAAGTTATTTTTGAACAAAAACATATGCTTACAGTTTAATTATGTGTGGATGCCGAAACAGTTTCAGATTCTGAATCTCTCTGCGGATCTTCCCCACAACATCAAGGCTGCGTATCTTCTGTCTGTTCAAGATCTTCACTGCCACTTTGTGCCCAGTCAGTTCATGCTTGCCAACTATAAGAAATAAAAGCTCAGCCAGGATTTGACAAGAGAGATGCTCACAAAATCATCCATCAAGGTTACAGTCAGTCAGAAGCAGTTATCTTAGAATGGGTTGAGGAAGGGAGGCAAAGAATGTGGGTAAGTATGACTCTCAGGCTGACTTCATAGGAACAAAAACAAGGAACACTGGGTACAACAGCAAGAATTATTTTGCAGGACTTACTTGCATATGGTTCATATACAGTTTTATTTCTTCACTATAGTTATATACTGCCTTTGCCAAGGACTCAAGGTACTTTATGGTTTAATAGTAGTAGCACCATCAAAATTTACTAAGTACAATATTAACAAAAGACTGCAAACTTCTCCTGGCCATGGGAGATGTCTTAGTTGCAGATGACAAGAGGAGTTCCATTCTGGTCTGGACATTTTCTCTTTGCCTTTCCCCACAGCACATAGGCCTTTAAGAAGCCCTAAAAGGGGACAAGGGCCAGATCACTCATCTGTGGATGGCTTCTTCAGAAGCCAGCAGTATAAACTCAGCTGAGATACAGCAGTACCTTCTCCTACCATGAAAAGATCAAGTTCCATAAAGCTTTATGAAGAAGAGATTCATTCTGCTTTCTAGAAAGGAAGTACAGTGGACCCTCGACTTACAGACGGCTCGACTTACAGACTTTTCGAGTTACAGACTTCTCTGGCTGCAAAATTTAGATTCGACTTGCAGCCGGAGAATCGACCTACAGACCAGAAAAAAACCAAAATGGAAGAAAAATAGAATAAAACCCGCCGGTTATGGGATTAATTGGTTTTCCATGCATTGTAGGTCAATGGAGATTCGACCTACAGACTTTTCGACTTGCAGCCACCGTTCCAATACAGATTAATTCCGTAAGCAGAGGGTCCACTGTATCCTAACTGACAAATTCCTACAGATACAGTTACAGATGAGAGACCTATGGCTAGTACTTATGACACCTACCTATGGCTACAATTCCAGACAGGACCTGCCAAGAGTCAGGCAGTAAAGCATTTATAAACTTAAAAAGAGGCTATTCTTTTCTTACTGTCGGATAGTAATGGCATAAATGGCCAGCAGGCACATGCATGTGTGAATTAGGTACTTTACAAGAGGGTGATTTGTTAATAATTAGAAGGAAAAAAAGAATTTATGGAGTGCAGAGGTCTTGGCCTAAAAATGAAAATTTTCTAAAATGTGCCTCAAAGAGCTGCATTAAAAGTGAAAGTACAAATGGAAAGTGCTTTGTGAAGACAGTTTATGTTAGAAAACCAAAAACACCTCACTTGTTTTGGTACAAAAAGCTACTGATAAGATAACAAGGCAAAAGTAGTTCATGCAGTTTCATGCCAATTTTCCTGAAAAAGTAAACAGAAAGCTTACATAATATGAAACAGAGACAAGAGGAAAAATGAGTACATTTTAAAATATCACTTGTGTTGTGCTTTACCTATAATTTAATTAATAAAGAGATACCACAAAATAAATGTGGAAACCTGTGTTAAACAAATGAGAATAACAATATATTGTACAATAAAAGCCTTTACAAAATAATGTGAAAGCTGAAAAAGATTAATGTTATTTTAAGTTGTTTGTTTAATGATGAGTAAGTAGGGAAGAAAAAACAACTTGGACAAAATAGTTTTGAGGCTACTAGACTATAAATAGGGTGAAATCCAGTTTGTTATTGGATAGAGAAACACTTTATCCAAAAGGACCAGAGAAAGGACACATGCTTTTTTATGGAGTGAGACGTAGAATGGAACATACAGTATGCCACACAGATGGTCTCACAGCAGCAAAGAGATAACAATGCTGCACCAGATTAAGGACATAACACAGCCTTAAATTCTAACTGGCTAAGGCTTGGTCAGGAAAAATGTTTCATTTTGTATTTTCTTATTATAAGAACTCTGGTGTTCTTAAATGTATTTTTAAGAAACCTTTTATATTCCTTTTTACTTTAAAATTAAATGTTATAGACATGTATTCTTTGCCTAAATAGGCTATAAGCCCTTATTTTTCATTTTTACTGTTGAAAGAGTTTGTGCTCGTGAAAGAAATGCTCCTGTATTTCAGAATGTAACTTAAAATATTCTTTTTGATATTTTAATGTACTTATGCTCTCATGTTTTGCCTGTATTTAGTTCCTGTATTTCAACATTTCTATATTGTATATTCAAGTACACCTTAAGTTCCCTTTTCGTATTGTTAAGTATTTGTACCCATAGCTTTGTTCATAGCTATAATAATGTTTTTCTGCAAGATAAATATACCTGTAACTTCTCAAAAGTTACTTATTACTTTTAGATTTTATGTTTTTCACATGGAACCTAAAAATGATGGAGATAAATAGAACTTGTACAGAATTAACAAGATTTAAAGTTCCCTGGAATTATTGCAACAAAAGTAAGTCTTATAATGAGATACTCAGCTCAGTTTGGAAAAGCTTGCCACTGACGTTCTTGCTTCATTCTGCGATCAATTCTTTTTACTGAGTTGATCTCAACTATAATGAATCACAGAATCTGTTCTTTGCCTGGGAGGGCTATAAATCTCTGTAGGACTCCTGGGTGAGTCAGGAATCCTTATCAGGTTCTGACAGATTTATATGTGGAAGGGAAAAAAATCTCAAATGGATACAAATGTAATTGTGGGTGTGGGTAGGCTGCAGACAAGAGCAAACAATACTTAGACAATACTTGAAAAAACAATGTGTCAAAATAGCATGGGAAAGGAGAGATATTAGATCTTTTGTTGACAAAAAAAGATAGAGATAATTTATTCTCAAAGAAACCAACATTTTAGACCCTCCCGGCCCACACAGACTCTCTATGGCAAGTATGAAGAAACAAGAATAACACAATGCACTTGTTCACTTTGGCCCCAATTCTTTTTGATCAGTTCATAGATATTATGCAAATGATGCATCGGCAAATATTAGCCAACAGTACAGTCTTTGGAACCATCAAAAGAAAGGCCACATCCCACAAGCTAGCACTGCTGACTTGCACACATAAAGGCTAAACTGGAATAACACAGGCATTCCTCAATCAGGATTTCTTAGATATCCCTCCAACCCATAAGAAACATTCTCCCGTGGCTGCTTTGAAGATCGCAGAAGTAGTGAAGAGGCTATATCTCTACTCACATGCCATTTCCAAATTGAATAATTCCTCCAAAGGTTCTATTGACTGTTTTGCAAAAGTATAGATATATGCAAGGCACATCTATGTTACTCTTGCAGAGTGACTGAGAAAGTCGGGAGTTGTGACCAAGAGGGAGACAGAAACACGAGGCTTTAATGTTTATTTATTTATTTATTTAACTTATACGCCACCCACTCTACCCAAAGGTCTCTGGGCGGCTTACAACAATTAAAATTCAATTAAAATACAATAAAATATAAAATGATTAAAATACAATTAAAATTGCCATCAGGACGCACAGTTGATGTTATTTCAATTAAAAGCCTTCTGGAACAGGAAGATTTTGGCCTGGCCCCGAAATGACATCAACGTTGGCACCAGGCGAATTTCAGTTGGGAGGGTATTCCATAGTCTGGGGGGAGCTGCCGAAAAGGCCCTTTGTCTACAAGCCGTCCCTCTTACCTCCTTGAGGGACGGCTCTTTCAAAAGGGCCCCCTGGCTAGATCTTAACTGTGCAGTTTCCTGATGTTCAAAGCAGCTGCAATGGGTGGTTAATTAATGAAAACCTGGAATATCCTGATCTCCAGTATCAATCCTAAATTTCTAGTTCAGCTGTGAATTGCTCTGGAACATTTAGAATATCACAGAATGCCTGCTTTGCCATTACTCCACAAATTAAAAAACCATTCTTTCCTCTCATTGTTCCATACAGCAGTGGTCCGCAACCTTTTCAAACCACGGACCGGTTGGGGAGGGGGGTCCGTGTGTGTGTGTGGGTGGTGTTGCCAAAAAGGACTTACAAACTTTATGAGAGTTGATTTTTGCATTAAAAATACACTGCCACTTAGAAGACTTCTTTCTCTACCTAAGTTTTATTTGAGTGTCTTTTTGGAATAAGAAAGTGTAGAGTTGTATAAATTATAAATGGTCATTTACCACTCTGAGTTTATACAGCATAGGAAGATACAGAATTCCATCTGAAATCCTGCCAACCCTGTATTCCAAGGACAATTGGCTAATTTTCAAAGGAACAGACTGTATTATTAGAGAAATATTATCATACAAAAAGAAACCTTAAAGGAATATTGGATTTATACATCAAATCGTCATCTTGCTTTCAAACTATTAATTTATATGGTTATCTCCATAAAATTATGTGGTTATCTCCAAATGAAAGGAGAAATTAAGGATACAACAGCACAGTTTGCTGTCCTCTGAAGATGCCGGCCACAGAGACTGGCGAAACGTTAGGAAAAACCACCTTCAGAACACGGCCAAGAAGCCCGAAAAACCCACAACAACCATACAACAAAAGAATCGTTGTAATTACTAACTTGACCATGAAAATACTTCAGGTCTGCATAAGGGCATATTGCTGACACCTTAACTTTGCAACTTTGTTCCCCCAAAACTTGCCAGCGTCTGAGCACATACAACATCTGGACTAATTTCAAAATGTTCTGGGACCAGGCATGGAGTAGAATGATTAACACACTGACTCATACCTTTATTATCAATTCTGCCACAAGTCCATTAAAATAGCTTTAGAAACATATTCAGTGCCAAACTGTCTTGTTTCCACAAGGAGGAAACTCACAATTGAACTTAATGCTGAAATCCAGTTTGTGCAGATATGCTGCATAAGACCAAAATCATCAGCAGGGATGGGCATGAACTAGAAAACTGGTGTGTCGTGATGCTTCAAAGCTAACCACAAATCATCATGAATCTCTAGGAAAATGAACTGGTTTGCGGTTTGTTTTTCTGGTTTGTGTTGGGGGGGGAGCATTTTATAGCCTAACTAATCAATGAATCAAAAATTGCTTAAAAAATCACTGATGTTT